TCAGCAGGATCACCTCCATGCCCTGGGGGTGAGCTCCTGTGCAAGCTCCTGTGCTGCAGGAGGGTGGGGAAGGAGCAGTAGCATGGAACCATCACTTTCAGGAGTGTCAACTAAATTTAGCTTTATGGTCTTTTAAGATTTAGTTAATGTTACTGTACTTGAATATTACTGTATGATATGCTTGAATAAAGTGGTACAACTTCTTTATATGTTTTGCAAGTTACTGTGACAAAATTCAGTTTTGTGACTAGTTTCTTCTTTTAAATGTATCAACAAGCTTGCATTAAATCAGAGAAAAAAAATCCTATTCAAGGGAAATTTTTTACTTTTGCTTTTCTTCTCCCTCAGCTTTTTTCCTCTTTTATGTTTCAAAGGACAGGGTTTGCCTGAGTCCAGGTGGATTAGAGGGTTTAAATGATGTTAAGTGTACTTATTTATGTTAAAGGCTGCATCTTCGTGTTTGCGGTACCTGATGGCTGTACAGAACCACCTCCTCAGTAACACTATTTTGATAAAACCTGATGAAAATGATGACAGTGACAGCTCCTTGCAGGGAGAGACATTGAAGGTACAGGTAAACACCAAGTTTTATTCTAGTATGGCTCTCTACAGTCAGTGTTCCTGTGACATCTCTTCTGCAGTGCATTCTATTTACATTGTTTTGTTGTTTTTTTTCTTCTTGATACAGTCAAATTTTTGTAGACAGTTTTTTTTTCTAGCTAAAATCTGCATTTGCTCATTGTTCAGTGTTGCAGCCTGGGCTCTATATTGTGAGAGCACATACTTCCCATTCTAAGTATACCACCTCCTCAGTAACACTATTTTGATAAAACCTGATGAAAATGATGACAGTGACAGCTCCTTGCAGGGAGAGACATTGAAGGTACAGGTAAACACCAAGTTTTATTCTAGTATGGCTCTCTACAGTCAGTGTTCCTGTGACATCTCTTCTGCAGTGCATTCTATTTACATTGTTTTGTTGTTTTTTTTCTTCTTGATACAGTCAAATTTTTGTAGACAGTTTTTTCTCTAGCTAAAATCTCCATTTGTTCATTGTTCAGTGTTGCAGCTTGGGCTCTATCTTGTGAGAGCACATACTTCCCTTCCTAAGTATACATATAATGAGGTTCAAAATGTATTTTAATATCTGCTAGTAAGAAAATTCATGTGTCAGGAGTTTCTGAACATATTACGCCTGCACCACCACTTTCCCTTCTCCAAATCACTTAAGTGGTTTTATGAAAAAATATTTTCAGATATAAAGAGGAAAGTTTTCTCCTTTGCCTTATCTGCCTTCTGCTTTTTTTTATGGTTTTAAGTTACAAAGCTTATGTAGAACCACCTACATTTGCTGTCTGAAGTAGTGTGAATAACATTTGTGGCAAGGAGACAGTTGGAGCACAACGTTTGCAGACAGTGGTTGTTCTGTTGCTATGAAGTTTATTAAAATTGTGTCATTTCATGTTGGAATAATCTTAAATGAACTCATAGAAGCCAAATTTTGTCCCAGCATGCAGGTTAGCTTGTCATAGTGGGTTCTGTAGTGGTAACAGTTCTTCTATAATGGTACTGACTTTTGAACTTCTGGTATTGTTTGTTAAGCTGGTTTTGTCTGCTGCTGTTTGAGACTTTGTGTGCTTGTAATGTGCTGCAGTTGAAAGTTATTTGTTCAGGCTCAGAGAGTAAATGCTAAATGTTGTAGTACTTTTCTTGTCTCACTATTCACCCATGTTTTCATTGTTCAGTTTCTCTCTCTACAGTGATCCTCATACCTGCTAGGACATTCTGTCACCAATGCTGTACCTTGGCTGGCTAACAGCTCTCTCTCCTGTGCTGGACTTGGGGATTCCCTCCCTCTAGAAACTGGATGTGCATCCTGTAAAATATGCACCTAGTTTCTCCCAGCACTTTTGGGGCTTAGCATTAATCAAATTTAAGTCTTGGATGAATCTACTGCTGCAGGCCTGCCAGGTCACATTATCATTATTTTCATTTGGAAATCCATCGTTTTGTTCTGTTGTCCTTTTTTTTGGTATTCTCTAAGAATTTAAGTATCCTGTACCTCTTCTTGTACCTAGGAGCTGAAGACCAGCATTTTGTCTCTTGCTACACAAATTCTGACAGGATGTGATGAAGTCTTAGAAATGCTGCAGCAAGTGACTACAGCCCTAATAAACAGTGATATTTCTGACAGAGAGCAAAGGTAAGATGAGCATGAGTGTGCTACTGGAAAAACAGTAAGCTGCTGCTTTTTGTGCCTTATTGTACAAGCAGAGGTAGCATTACTTAGTCTTTGTCACTTCATACTTGAGCTTTGAACATAAGGAGCAGTGTCTTACTGTAGCATTTACTTACCACTTTTGAACAGTTTAGAATCAGACTTCCCATGTCACTGTGACAAGCTTGATAATCTACAGGAACTTCAAATTGCTGCAGTTTTAGGCAATCACAGTGGGTATTTTTGAGCAGGTTAACTGGAAACAAAGTGTGATTATTCAACTGGGAATATTCCTGTAAGCTACAGCAGTTTTCTTATTTTTAAACTCCTGAGTATTAGGTCTCTAGTCACTGGACTAGCTATTTTATCTGTGACAAGTCTTGTATATTGTTACAATATCCTGCATGTTTCTTCAGAGAGTGTCACCTTGCCCTTCTCTGCCTCCCCTCCCCTCAAAAATATATGTTGGAAATGGGATGTAAACAAAAGCTGTGAACCCTTTTTGTCATGAAACAAACACCTCCCTCTCGCCCTTGTTTCAGATTTCAGTTTCTGTGCTTTTCTGTGCCCACAAGATTAGTTTTGTTTGTTGACAATACACAATTCCTTTGAGATTATTTTCAGATGGGTTTCATGGTCAAATATATTTTTGTAGATTCTTTTAAAGTACTTTGAGCTCCATGTGCTCAGAGACTGATAGATCTACTGAACAAACACATTTGTGTTTGATGTGGACTTTCATCCCATGCCCATGGGAACTTAAAACTTTCTAAGTAATTATTAAACTCTTGATTTAGTGTCTTCTTCTCTATCACTGTTTAGTAAGAATTGACAGCACAGACTAGGATGCTAACACTGGAGAAATTTTAATGTTCTCAAGACATTAAGATTTTTCTTGTGTTGGTTTTTTCACTCTAACTCAAGTGTTCTCTGCTGAATTTTGAATTGCCTACTTACACAGTCTGTTAAAAGATTAAACAGATGACTAAAAATAGTAGTGATACTCTGTGAAAATAGTTGTTGCTATGTAAACCTTGACTCTCCTTACAGATTAAAAGGCCTGGAGCAAATTACCAAGGCCACAATGCTGGGTCATCTGCTTCCTGTCCTGCTGACATCTCTGATGCATCCAAACCTGCAAACTCTAACCATGGCTGATGCCTTGATGCCTCAGCTGGTGCAGCTGGTTCTTTACACCAGTCAGGTATGGTCTTTGTGTCAGCAGTTGGCTACAAAGGAGAAAGGATGAGATGTGCAGGTTCTAAAATGCTGTAGATCTTGGTCAGCTTTCTGCAGTAAGTGATGAGCAGGTCGTGGTTTAAGAATTGCTCAACAGCTACAAAAGCTGATAATTCTGGATATGAAATTTGACTCTGTACAACAGTTATGAGGTAATGATTCCTTGTCAGTAACAACATACAGTGTGATTGTTCATGGATTTCAGTAATGAGGTTTAAAATTATTTACTATTCACATGTTTCTAACATGTATATTTTGTGCCACAGACTGCACTGCTGCTTAAAACTCAGTCTCCAGTTTTCTCAGAACTGAACAGTTCCCCCAGTGGTGCATCAGAACAGAAAGGGAAGCTGTTATCTGATGAGAGGTGATTTTTCTTTCCATTTGGGTCTTTTTACAGCATAAAATGTCATAGCTGCAATGTTCATTTGACCATTACTGTGGGATAAACCTTAATGCAGCAATTTCTAATGTTTTTTCCTTAAAAAGGCAATGCTGTAGTGGCTTAGGCTGTCTTAAGAGATATATAAACCTTTACAAAAGACAGTTAGTTCTTCAAGAGTTTTGCATTGAGAATTAAATAAGTATCTTCAGATTGTTTGCACAGGGTATGGTGTGGTTTGTTTTTTCCCCTCACCTCAAGCATTGGGAATTAATTCTGTATGGCCCCCTTACAATAAATTAGGCCAAGGAAGGCCATCATGAGAAAATGTAAATTGCTCTGGCAGCATGAGATACAGTACTAAAACCATTGGGAAGATATGAAATGGTTTTATTTACATAAGGAAATAAAATGATTTTCAGTCCTGCATATAAATCCTGTGTCTCAGCCCAAAGTTATACAGCTTCTGCTTACAAACAGAAGCACACAGCTAAATTAAAGAAAAAATGCTTGCCATAGCTATTTGCAGGGTTGCAGAATTTGTAATATTAAACAACTTGTGATGGTGTGTAATAAACTGCCTGAAAACTCTGAAGAATTTATTTTCAATCCTCCCAAATTAGGAGCTCCAGTGAAATATTAGACACGTTGTTTTATGACAGTGCAGTTGGGTTTGGGTGCTGTGCCAGGAGGATGGAGGGGGTTTTTGTGCTACCAATCATGTCTTAGAAACTCTATATAGTACCATTTACTACTTTTATGGTGCTGCTTAGCTTGTTCCAATTTCCATAATTTGAAAAATTGGAAAGCATAGGGAAAAGATTTTCCAGGTTAGAGGTGGGCATAGTTATTTCTAACTCAGAGTTCACACTATTTAAGTTCTGCATGTTCCCTCAACACAGTTGTGACTAAAATGAGGAATCAATAATTTTCTGTTGCTGTGTCAATACATAGCACATATTACATAATACATAGAGGGCTGATCTTAAGTACTTCATAGTCTGATGTCTGAGTATATAGTAAAAATCTATGTGGTGAATTTTAGGCCTAACTTTTCACTCTAATTTCAGAATGCTGGAGGAGAAAGAAGAACCAGGTTTTCTTACTGGTTTGAAGATCCCTGCTCCCTGGGCTGCAGGGAAGACTGTAGAAACAGTTCATCCTGTCAGGGATAACTATAAATTTAAAGAAACTGTCCATATTCCAGGAGCCCGCTGTTTGTATCTTAGATTTGACAACAGATGTTCTTCACAATATGATTATGATAAGGTAAGCAAGGGCCAGTTCAGTAATTCTTATGTCCATATATTTTTTCAGCCAGCAGCATTTCCCATTTCCATCTTTTCCTGCCCCTTGTCTTTCATGGCACTTTATGTCCAGTGACAGGATAATGCAGGAGGGTTTTATTGATGGGAGCTTACTGGTGTACACTGTAATGTCCCAGTCTGCTTACTTCAAGGTTCTAAACTACAGGGGTGCAGAGAGCTTATTACTTGTGTGGCATGAGTTGAATAGAGAATTGAGTTTCATCTTAAGACCAGACTTAGTTAAATGATAGAAAACGTGCAAAGAGTCGTTGACAGGAAAAGGTGGGAAGGTGACAATAAATGGTTTAACTTCTGTTATTCTGAAAGAAACAATCCAAAAAGAATATGTGCTTAATTCTTCTTGTGTATTGTTTCAGAACATAATATCCGGTGATTATTTCAATGTTTAAAACCTAGCAGTTATGAGGATCTTTTGTTAACAGTTAGGCTTTGTAATTAAGAAGTTCCCTCAAAAGAAGTCAGAGGTAGTGGTAGTTAAGAAATTACAGAAGGTTCCAGAGGTATGGGATTTGGGGGTTTCTTTTGGTTTAGTGTTTTTT